CTCATCAACATAACATCAAGTGAAATCATCTCGGAGACATTTATCTTCTTGGAGAAAACCGATGCCTGGGTTTTTGTGGCATTGAATTGAATCCTGCTGCCGGTGAAGATGTGCATCACAAAATTATCTCCGGCCGGGAAAATTTACATTCTTTAACCGATTCAAATCTATCATTTTATAAAATATGAACGAAACTAGGTTGAAAAGGAAATTTTCACTTGAAAGTATTAGCCTAAGCATCTTACAAACTGAAAATGAACTAGAAATTGTGTTAAATTCAATAAGTTTTTTTTAATAATCATTGATGACGTTTATTGAAAGTCGAATTCACAGAATTCGCCTGCACTATTCGTCTAGGTATCGTTTTTCACATTTACCGTACCATAACATTTAGGACTGAACTCAATAGAAAGACATGAAAGGCGAAATTTCGACATTGCACAATCGACACAAACCGTTTATCTTTCACAAAAATTGCAGAAGAAAGTAAATCGGATGCACGTAAATATTATATAACGAAGTATAATTTAGTTCACGATATAACTTTTTAAATGTAATCGAATTAAGCTAGTGGGTCTCATTATTTTGTCAACGGAGACAATGTAAGATTGAAATGATTTATTAACATTTCATAGTTTTTTCAGCTAGACTATTACTATTGTTATGGAAATGGCGGACACTTTTTTACCGTTATTTTTTTTAAATTCGATGTTGTCATCATTCTATGTATTACTTTTTGTATTGAGTTGAATACTAGAAGGACGTTTCATTGTCTGTAATATGAATAGGAAAGAGTAGAAAAAAACATAATTTTTCAATTGTTTTTCTTTCATATTTATGTCTGCATATACCGTAAATATGTTTCATCTTAAAGTAGGTATAAGTAATAGTTACCATTCACATCAACAAAATAAAAGAAGTAATGAGTTGTTATGTTCGTGAGGCTCATCGATGACATTTTGAAAAGTGAAAAAGTATCATCAATTCTCAAGAAAGCTGTGGTAAACCTATACACGGAAAAGGGCGATTTCACTTATAACAACCTTCACAAAATGTCTAGAAAAGGCGATAAAAACGAAGCTAGATAAATTGATTGATGTAGCCGTTACAGGTTTTGAAGAATACGGGGGACAACACTGAGGTTATTTGAAAGTAACTTGAACAATAGGAAACAAATAGTAAGAATTAGACACCACGATAGCATGCATAAAGAAATAAGTTATACCCCAAGGTATTGTCCTTGGTCCATTGTTGTTTCCTATACATATGAATGATCCATTTTTGATTAAAACCGCTGGGACGAGCTTACTGAAATCAGCGATTGGTTTGAAAATAAAAAACTGACAATGGATTTCGACAAAACTCATTTTATTTCTTTCACGAACTGCAAGTGATACGAACAAAACATTAAATCAGGTACCTCGGAGTAATCCTCGACTCACACATGGGATGGAATTACCACTTAAACCAAGTAACGAAAACAATCAAACTGTTATTATTCAAATTCAAGTACGTGAAGAAAATTTAAAACACTACTCATCTGGTTGAGTCACGTTATGGGATCTTTCCTGGGAAAAAGTAGCTTCTGTACACCTGGAAAAACTAGAAGTTTGTCAAAAGAAGATATTAAAAATGATTTATAATAAAAAAGACATACTCAACAGATGATTTATTCGACNGTTTTGAAAATTACCTAAAAATGTGGATTACAAAATACTATTAATGATTCACTATGAATTTTTTCGTGGCCACCTGGCTGACCAGATTTGCCGCTCGATGACATTTGGCAATGGTGGTGTTGTGTTAATGAACGTGTGTTTGCGAAATTTTTATTCCGAAAACTATATCCTCGAAGATGAGCCCCAAAGTGGTCGACCTACAGTAATCCAAGACAAGGATTTCAAGAGACTGACCCACCACAAACGGTGCGTGGGATGACGGAAGAACTGGGCGCTAAGCTCCCATACGATTTTGATTGTTTAAAACGTATTGGAAATGTCAACAAATTCGAAAAGTGGGTGTCCCACAATTTGAATGATCGACATATATTGTCACGTTTCAAGGTCCGTTCTTCTTTGCTTTTGCGCAACCAAAACGATTCTTTTTCGGATCGGATCATCACGTGTAATGAAAAGTGGATCCTCTATGGCAACAGGAGACGTTTAGGACAGTGCTTGGACACCAATAAGACACCCAGTTACTTCCCAGAGATGAAAACCCACCAAAAAAAGACCATGGTTGCTTAACGGTGATCAGCGGCTGGTGTGATTTACTATAACTTTCTGCAATTGGGCCGAACCATCACAGCAGAGTTCTATTGTGAGGAAATCCATGTTCACAAGGATTGAACGTTCATTACTTCGAAGAAAATAAAGTGTTGTCTGCTTTGAAACAGATAAAACCAAAAATGACAACGGGTCCCGACAGCATCTCTGCACTGATTTTGTCAGAGATTGTGCATATGTTTTGGTTCGTCCATTGACAATATTAATGAATATTTGCATCAAAACTAGTACCACCCCAGATCTATGGAAATTATCTAAAGTTCGGCCAATTTATAAAAAAGGGGACAAGTTTGATGTCGGTAATTTTAGACCCGTATCAATAATATGCAACTTCACCAAAGTGTTTGAAATCCTTATCTATAGCGGGTTATATATCCAGTTGAGCAAACAAATGACACCACTTCAACATGGTTTTATGAAAGGTCGTTCGACAATCACCAACCTTTTCAATGTTACCCAATATATTTCTGAAACCATTGATAGGAGATCCCAAACTGATGTCATATATACGGTCTTCAACTCTTCCTCAATCTGAAACGTATTGAGAGCCGGTGTTTTCGCAACAATCTTTCTTTAAACGCGAGTAAATGCAATGTAATGACGTACACACTAAAAAATCGTCTATTTTCATATCAATATTTAAATAAACGATATTCCACTTCAACGGCCTCTCACATTCACCGATCTAGGCGTTACCTTTGACACAAAACTTTTTTTCATACCACACATTGAAGCAATAGGTCTACTGCAAGCAGAATTTATTGCACGAATCTCCGGAGATTTCTTGGATCCATCTACATCGAAAACCTTATACTATGCTTTCGCCAGATTAAAATTAGAATATGCATCCATAACCTGGAATCCATCTCATCAGTTGTATACGGAGAAAGTTGAATCAGTACAACTTCGTTTCCTAAAACTTCTCTCCTATAGATCAGACAATGTCTATCCACCAATTGGATTTCCCCATGATGCATTGGTAGCTAGACATGCTATGAATAACTTGAGTTGCTGTGATGATTGTCACTCCACAATTTTTCTTTTTGATTATTGACCCAGATATTCTGCAAAAACTTAATTTCAATCTACCTAAACTAACCTCTAAAGTGTTTAACACTTTTTATCTGCCAACACCACGTGCAAATATTCCGAAACGTTCACCTCTGCATAACATGTGTCTCAAATGTAATTCAGCAAGTTGTCAGCTCGACATTTTTTACAGTTCCATCTCTGAGATTAGGTCTTTTACTTCAGCTAATTCTATACGTATTGTTTTTATCTTGTAACTTATTGTAATTGTATTGTATTGTGATTTGACTTATATCACTGTTCTGTAGTTGGGCATAACCTGTAGAATAGTGTATAAATAAATAATGCACCGTGTCACAAATCAATAAAAACAATGGCAAAATTGTATGAATTGGGCTCCGAATTGCTTCCGTATCCACCGTATCTACCCTCCAGCGATCGT